ATCCAAAATTGGGCTCTATTAGGATCTAACCACATATGTCAGCTTCACTTTAAGACGCTCCTGAGCTCTCTGCGATGTTTCGTTATCTAGAAAACTTGCAGCTACGCAATGGTAGTAAGGTGAAAGTCGCCTTCGAGATATGGTGGCGCCGATATCTAATACATGTTTTAGGGCTTCCCGCAAAACTCTCATAACTATTGATTAGAACATCATTCAGAGCTAGGAGATATCTCATTTTGATCAGCAATATTTGCTCTATTTCCTAGTAGTATTGAATGTATTTTTCACGTAAAAGTGGGCAATCGGAATTACGAAGAAAAGGCTAGCTAATTAATCGGAAATGGTTCTAGATCGTTACCCAAGTCAAAAGAAACAGCAAATAAATGGGCTGTTAAGTGCCGGTTGACGGCCTAAAGACAGCCACAAGAAACAGTAAAAATCTTTATATGCAGAATAAGCCCTTCCTGACCGTAACATTCATAGTTATGAAGCAGTCATTGAATAAGTGTTCGTAAAAATGACATTTTATTGCAGGCAAGTGCTGAGTAAATGATGTTTTTACGGCACCCGATACTTTAATACTACAAAAGAATGGTACATATTTATTTAAAAAAGAACATATCAATAAAATCTACACATCAGAGCGTTCGAGAAATAAGAATAAAACTAACGGGTTACGATATGTGATGTTTTAAAATTTTCATTTAACACGCGTTTCAGCTCGTTCAAATGCAGAGTCGTTGCAACGCGTTACAAATATTTGAATATAGAACTTGTTCGAACGCATATTCTCTCAACTTTCGGTATATTCATGCGTTCAAGATCGTTTGGAATAAATTTATTGACCTACCCAGATGAATTTTGCTGCATAAATCTGCAAAAATCTTTGCAGAAATTTTGTAGATTCTGCAAAGGTTTTGCAGATTTAATATAAATGTATCAACATTTGGTCAAAGGTCCGATGCAGATCTGCTCAAAAATCTTTACAGCTTCTTTGCAGAAAACTGTAGAATGTTCGCAGGTTCTTTCTACTGTGGGACATACGTTTATTTTCACACCAGAAAAAAAGGCAGATTCTACAAAGATTTTTGCAGATTGGTGATTTTTGGGTGGTGGATTTAATACGGTTTTAATACATGCGTTATATTAATCTCATAAGCAAGAGAATTTGTTACATAAGTAGAACAACAGTGAGACAGAAAATTAACATTTCGAATGCTATATATCCCAAGAGTTTCTCACCGTCGTGGAACTGTCACTGTTCATTGGTGCTAATATTGGCGTATAGTATGTTCAATATGGCTGTTACCATAGCATTGGGAAAAGAAAAGAGCAAGGAAGCAAGGAAGTCGCAGAAACACACCTGGGCCATCAGTAGAACTTAGTTGCTTAGGGAAAGTTGCACGATAAATTGAACTTTTGCATTAATATACGTAAATCATTAGAAAATTATGTACTTTTGCCGCGCTGAACCAAGTTAGGTAAAAATTGGGCGCTATGTGCAGAATTTTTCGGTGAATCCGACAGCGGATAATTATAATTATGCCCATACCCATCACGGATTGTCGCTACAGTTTCTAAATTACAAGGTGTTTGCATTAACCTTTTCTATAAGTCGTTGTTCATCCGATAATATTATCGATAACTCATAAACTGGTTGTTCATCTAAGTCAAATGTTGATGAAACGTCGAATAAATGTTTGAGTAACTGCTGAAATCGTTTTGATAAGAGTTCGATCGTTTTGTCTTCGAATAAATTATCTGCATATTCAAAAGAAAAGCCAAGTGTTTTGTTATTTAAATTATATTTGACTTTCAGTGTTAAATCGATCGGTGTTATATTCGTCGTTCGTATATATGTACCTTCAGTTGGTGGTGACAGTTTATTTAAAACTGTGTTCTTCTCATCATCCAGATGCCATACATCATCCTCTATGTCAACGCGAAGTAATGTCTGCATAAATGGCAGTTTCATGGATGCCGAAGAAGATGATGATGATGATCGGACTGCCGCGGATCGATATAATGCAATTATGTCCTGAAAAGGTAAACGATCATTTTCTTTTATATCTTGACATAATTGTTCTACTTGTTTGACTACTTCATTAAATGATTGATGAGGATTCAATTGAAATCTGTAAGGAAGCATATTCTCGAATGGTCCGATTATGTTACCTAATTCTGATCGATAACGATTAGGCGTTAAACCATTGACGCATAAATCTGTTTCATTTATCAATTTGAACAAAAACACATAATAACATGACAAAAATAATCGAAACATCGTTACATTCCTTTTTTGTTTATATCTGAATATTTGTCGAATCATCGATTTATCCACTTGAAATGGAAAAGATGATCCAGAACCAATCTTGGTCAAATAATGATCATATGGTAACTTCAAGTGGTGTTCAAAAGGAAAATCAGTCAACATTTTTTTCCAGAACTCTTTCAGCTCTGTCATATCCATTTGACGCTCATGTTGTGAATAATCAATGTACTGAAGTTCATTATCGTCAATGTTTAATTGTCCACTGGTATAGGCCAATTTTAAATCCCGTAGAAACAGATAACGTGAATGTTCATCGATCGCTGAATGATGAAAACTCAATAAAACTAGATCATTTTCATTCAGTATGTCATTATTGTTAACAGTCTCCGTTTGTTTGATTAAATGGCATCGAAATAGACGACCTTGATCTAAATTAAAATATTTGTTCGACGTTTCTTCATTGAATACTAATTCATCGATTTTCTCGTTATCATCAAGATGCGAGCGAGTAAATTGATAAGACCAACTGTCATCTTGTGAGGGATTGATTGACTGCTTCAAACAATATTGCGTTGTATCATAGTTCAGTGATGTTCGAAATATTTGATGTTTGTTTATTACACATTTGATTGCCTTTCGTAAACATGGAATCGATACACTGCCACTTGTTATTTTATATACAAGAAGAGAATTATAACTATGTAAGCCTTTGTCCTCTTCAGTGATGCTAAGTCGTAATTGTTCATCCAGCCATATCCGTTCCTGGGCATAGGATGCCTGACCTATAGCAAAGAAGAATGAAACATCATCATCTATCTTGTGGACGAAACTATAATACCTAGAGTGATATTCAGTTGTGTCCATTGCTTGGTTGTTGCTGGTGTTTTGGATATTAGTGGATTCATATTAGTTACCTACAGCAATGAACAGGGTTATTTTATATATATATTTATCTTAAATATCAGGCCTCTTATACGTTGAACTAATGTTTCTTGTCAATTCGTAAAGACTTTAAGCAAGCTTTCAATGTTTGCTCTAGCATTACTCTTTTATGTACAGTAGAACATTTCTTCTGACTTGTGCTCGTTTGATTCGCTTCAACTCACTCGATGTTTTATGTTACTTTGTCAATATCCTTGATCTATGTCGTTTAACCGAGTGTGAAAAAGAGGAAAGAAATAGGGATGGTTTTTTGCGTTAGTGTCTAATGCATGAGATTTTTTCGGTTTATACTGGTAATATATCGGGATATTGTGCAAACGTTCTCAACTATGGCCATAATGAGGAGTTAGTTAGTTAGTTAGACCCGCTACCATTTCTGGTGTAG